ATGGTTATAGTAAATATCTACAGACAATTGATTTTATACGCATTTACTTAAATCAACACCCTTATACTCTGTTCTAGAACATTTTAAAATGTGAAAGTAGATATAGGTACTATATTTCTGTCTCACTCTTCAGTTATGAAAACATTCGTAAACAAATTAATCTGAGAGACAGTAATAAGTTCAATTAAATGTAGAAGTAGCGATTCGCATCCAAAATTCTTAGTGTCTCATCTAAACGTTTAGTTTTTAAGACATTTTTTTTTAAACTATATTTAATTACTTATGACTACCAGCGATGCACGCGATTTCACCCGCGTAAAAGTTATAGCCTATGTTTTATTGTGATGTATAAAGCTACATAATTGTAAAGTTTTATTAAAATCCATTTAGTAGTTTTTCCGTGAAATAGTAATAAACTTCCATCCATCCGTCCACACTTATAAACTTTCGCGTTTATATTATTAGTAAGTTTTAATCGGTGCTGCGAAATATTCAATCTAGGTAATTAGTTCGTAGTAAAAAAATGTTTATTTTTAATTATACTTACAATATTGACATGTTAATTATTATAACGAATATATTGTCTTATAATTGCAGTGCTCGCTGTTCTAGACATTAAAATGAAAAAAATAATAAAAAACAGTTATTACACAGTTTCATACAAAAATACTTAGTTCTAAGTGACGCCTGCTTGAACTATAATAGAATAATTTTAAACAAAGAAAATATTTTAGCACTTAGCACAGATACGAAAATTATTTCATAATCTATGTATGTCTGTAGCAACCAATACATTATGTTCTGTATTCAATTGAAGTGAAAAAAAAATGTTCTAAATTTAAATGTATTATATTTTTAATATTATATTATTTGCGTTGTCTAGAAATTAAAAAAAATCTTCTAAATGATTCAGAGTAGAGCAGGTCTGTTTATTACCAGTTAGGTGGTAATATACAAAAAATATATTGTCATTTTTGTAGCATTGTATATTTAGAAAATTATTTAGATCTAAGTGACGGCAGCTTGGCTGAGGGTAAAAATCCGCATCGTTTCAGATAAAAAACGTCATGTCATTGACATTCGAAGAAGGCCAAGGTCACACGCCATAGGCGCTTTCAATATACATAACATCACGTAATTTATATTTAGAAATTCGAACAATAATAAAACCTTGCCCTACAAGCGAAAAAAGAAAAAAAAATATGTTGACGAAATTCCAAGATCAGTTTCGATCATTCTTTTAAATATTGACGTTTTTATGAATGAGTATCGAACCGCCCGCGTTCACATTGGTAGTGTATTAATCTCTTATTTTTTTAATGAAATATAACTAATATTATTCACTGATAAAGTTGTGTTTTTGTAGTATTTGTGTAAAAATCTACTCGTTGCTCTTTGCTTTCTCGTGAGGTATGACAGGAATGGCTTGAAGTTAAATAAAAACATTTCTAGTTTTTATATAAAAATTATTCTCAATAACTTTTGTACTATTATTGTCTATGACATAAGTTTTTAATTGTCTATTTTCTATATAATTGTCGTTGATTCCAAATTTTAGTGTTGATGATGAAATATAATTCTAATAATTCATTTTTGTTATTTATATTGTGTTATACATATAAAATAGTGTACACACAAAGTTGTGTTACAAACAATTATCCTATATATTATATTATACACGAGAAATTTATTTATTTTCCTACTAAACCGATTTTTTGTCATACCACTGGCTAGTTGTACAAATATTACAAGAACGTGTTTTTATAGAGTTAGTTTCTAAACTGCTAAAGTTGCAAACTACAGCTGACGATACAATTTTGCATCATCAGTATGTAGAAATTAAACACAAAATAACAAATGTCTAAGCTAATAACATATACAAATAATATCATACTTGCAGATTACGTATTGCGGGCAAGGTCACACATTAGAACGAAATATTCCATATAAAATCAAATATTATATATTATGTAGTATTTTACATGTAATTTTCGATTGTAGTATATAATTTGTGTTGGTTTGTTTTCAAATTTAAAAAGTAGATGCTTCTAAATTTGAATTTAAATCTTCTAAATTTAAATATTTTGATTGATCTCATAATAATTTTGCTTTTATTTTGTAGAATGAAACGTTTTTATAGTTTTTTTTTTTTTGTAATCCGCAGAAGTATCAACTAAAGCATGAATTTTTGAAGAAAAATTAGAATAAATTCGAACGTTTTATCCAAACTGCCAAGGGCATGATTGACTGAACAATTATTACGCGACGTTGATGAATTTGTTAATTCCTGAATGAAATTCCGAAATTCGAATTTGAAAAAGGAATACCATCAATTATCAGGATTGCGTCCCCGAGGAGAAAATATTTTTGTATGAATCCGTGTAATTACTTATTTTTAGCACGGTATATTTGCAACTGTTTGCATTTCTTTTTTAACGGTTTTTAAACCATACCAATTTTTATGTGAATCTGTGGAAATTTTACTTTTTTAGAAGCATTATAAGTTGTCACGTAGTTTCAATTTTGATTTAGTTTTCACAAGGGAGGTGGCAGCTCTTACAAAATGTAGTTTTAATTGAAATAATTGTAATTTTATAATAATAATAATCTTTATAATATTTATAGACTCTTTATAGCACCGAATAAATTACAAGAATCAAAAGTTACTGAGTAATAGGGTACTAAAGGCAACCTTATTGCTTATACAATCTCTTCCATTCAACCTTTGGGTAGAGGAGAAAAGACAAAAAGTGGTAGGTGGCGCTAGAATAGAATTCATAATAATAATTATGGCAATAACATCACAAATAAATAATAATGAACAACACATAGTACATAAAATAAATAGTATATAACTATATATATAGCATAACAACTAGTAATATGACTATATTTATGAAAGAATATTTACTTGTAGTGTCTCTATTCAGGGAGGAATTAAGGCATCTTAGGATACATTTGCTCAATAAGTCTCAATGATAATTAATAAAAAAAATATAACGTCTTTAAAAGATAATAAAGGAAAGGACAATATTAACACCTGAAGTCACAAAAAAAATTTACATCCTCTTGTTTTGTGTTGTTCAAATATAGAAAGAGGAAGATCAAAAATAATAATGAAAACAAACTTATAATTTAATTACCGAGGGAAACATTTAACGGAAATTTCCGCTACGAAAATAAAGTGAAAACTTCCAGCCCGTGCAGATTCAGGCTAATTATTTTTCTCGGTGTAAAGCTTCCTTTGTAATTGCTAGAACGAACTAACAAGAGGTTAATTTGTTAGTTAACTTGACTGTATAATTAAGCATTATTTATTATTACCACGATGGTGCAGTTGGGATGATCGCGGGTTCGATTCTTGCACTATGCGAGATGGCTTTCAGCCGCTCTGTGAAACCTACCCGAGTCCCGAGTCTCGTCACTAATTTTCGTAGGGAAAAACTCTGAAGACCAAATTTTATTTTATTTTACTTATAATATAGAAAGCTTACAACATTAGAATAATTTAAAATATCGTAAGTTGTTTGTATTAGTCTGGGTGTTTACTTTATATTGTATAATAACAATAAGAAGAATAATAACGCTGAAAAATTCACAAGCTAAGCAGAACTTGTGTGCCAGGTATTAAATTAATGTTGGAAATAGTAAAAACATTTCTTTTGTAAATGTATATATACATCTATTTGAATCTTTGTCTGTTTGTTGGTGCGCTTATGCGCGCTAATCTCAAAAGCGACTTTATGGATGTGGGTGCATTTTTTACTTATGTATTAACTTAATAATAATATCTCTGGACAATTCACACAGCGCCATCTAGTCCCAAGCTAAGCAGAGCTTCTGTTATGGGTACTAGACAACTGATAAATATACTCATATACACTTTTTGTAAATACAAACATAATATGCATAGAAAACACCCAGATCAATACAAACAATCATACTCATGAAACCAAAATTCATTTGAACGTACGAAGAATCAAACCTGTATTAATACTAATGCACTGTCTAGTTACACTAACCTTTGTGTGAATAAAAAAAAAAAGTAACCATTGGAGTCGTATCGTATCAACAGCTAAAAAGACTGATAGGAGATCGTGGAAGGTGGGAGTTCCACCGTAAAGAGCACAGCTCTTAAATTATGAATGAATGAACTGTATACAATATGTTAAGCGCCAGATGTATATTACAAACAACTTAATTTACAGAGTGGAAGATGCAGAATGCGGCTTAAATATTCAAATAATTAATTATTAATGAGTGAAAGACTGAAATACTCAAACTCGCATCACAGTATAATAATAATATGAAACACATTTCTAACAATAAATACAATTGTGATAAACTTCGTGGAATTTTGTATTCATATTGAAATTATGCACGAAATAATTGGAATAATTTGTGCAAAATTCAAATTGTTTTTGACATCAAAATCGATGTTTCTCTTGTATCTACTTGATTTATTTAAATATGAATTAATATATTTGGGAGCACAGAATCGTTTTATACTATAAAATAATATTATTAAAAACTGTTTTTTTAATTTTAATAATATTAATTGTGAAAAGTTTTCATTACAATTATTTATCTTCTTTACTCACGTTTACATTTTAAACGCGAATAAATAATACAATTTATTATAATTACAACTGTAATCCCAGGTAGGGTAGTCAGTAACATTATTAACTGTTAACAAAAGACAACACAGGCTCGTCTCTCATATTAATTTTATTCAATGGTGTTTATATCAGCGGTATGTCAGTTAAATATGTAAAATTTATAATTATGTTTTTGGCGTCGCGTCACTCAGATTCGAATCTCAGTACCTTTATTCTCAGGGTTTACTCGTTATACGACGTGACGAGGCTAGACAACTGACTGACTAGGCTAAGCAAAAGCAAATAATTATAATATACAAATATTTTATCGAACTCGCAACTCTTACAAGTATATTAAAGCATTAGTTCCACTATACTGTAAGGTCATAAATATTTCATCTTTCAGATACGTTACCAAAATCTTCGTTTGACGAGAAGAATAAGGACCACTGGAACATACAAGCTCAATGGACACTCAGATCTAAGGTAAGACCCACCGCTGGTAAGACCTGCTTTGCACCACGTGTATTCTAACAATGTTTTTTTTTCGAACCAGTAGAGCTATTCTGTAAGCATCATTTACGAATTCCAAAGCGAAGACCACGGTGAGAATGTACATTTATATTCTGTAAAATTAGATAGCGACTATAGTGACAAGCTCGAGAGTGGGATGGAAGTAAAACAGGTACTAGTGAAGAAATAGATTACAATAGAGATAGATAGATATTAGAATTTAGAAATATAGCAAACTCGATAGCTAGATAGGAACCGTATATTTGCAAATATAACGTTTCTACTGAATACGAGTGAGATATGAGAAGGATATGAGTGCCTTGAGCGAAGCGATGAGTGATATACATAAGTTGATAAAACTCTTACAGAATACCAATGCAGCTACTAGTTGATTGTGTATTTAATATTTTCACTTTAATTACTTAGTGCTAGTCGGTAGGTTTATTCACGCGTTTTAACTTAAAAATGTAAAGATATAACATTATTTAAAGAGCAACGCGCAAATTTCTTTCTCGTCATTTAAAGAGGTAGTACACCGCTATAATATAATAATAATAATCTCAGGACCATTCACACAGCGCCATCTAGACCCAAGTTAAGCTAGCTAAAGCTTGTGTTATGGGTACTAGATAACTGATACAAATAAATAGATATTTTTTGTTTCGTAAATACATACATATTATACACAGAAAACATCCAGAACGATACAAACAATCATACTCATGAATACAAATGTTTGTGCCGTGTGAGGAATGGAACCGGCGACCATCGGACGTAAAGCGGTGTGCTAGACCGCTAGACCACCGAGGTCGTCAATACTATGCTTCCGATGGTCGATAATGGTACAAACATTTATATTTGTACGTATGATTGTTATATCGGCCTGTTTTCTATGTAGTTTATGAATGTATTTACAAAACAAATCTATGTATGTATTTATAACAGTTTTCTAGTACCCATAATACAAGCTCTGCTTACCTTGGGACTTAATGAACGTATGTGTGTACTGATATTGTGAACGAAGGACTGTATATATATGGGGCTGGTAGATATAATTATGCAAACACGGGTTTTAGGAAGCAATAATATAATATTATATACAAAAGTATAATAGCAGCAGCAATAGCAGAACAAGAATTGACAATATCATATATATTTTTCTATATAAAATAATAGACAAAATACATAAATAATAAATAAAGAGGTGCGTCGTGCACAGTTATATTGCATTATTATTAGATGTTTTGACTGCGGTCCTAAAGACCATCACTAATTGTTGCCACGCCCCAACTCCCTCAATATATCGTAACAAATTAGAAAATTAACCTATTTAGTCAGAATATAATACCCAAAGGGTAAAGTTCAAAGACTAACTAGAAACTAGGTGAAGTATAAAGTGGTAAACTAGTTCTGAAAGTTTCTCCATGCGAATCCCTATCTGATATACTAACACGCCAATTAAAGATGTTATTGGCATATGTACCTACAAAAACTATAGAAATTGGGTTACATATGTAAATAATAATATCTATGGACAACTGTTATAATCATCTCAGCCCGGAAGACGTCCACTGCTGAACAAAGGCCTCCCCCAAAGATCTGTGGGGTCGGTAGTAATTATAATGTAAATAAAATAGACCCTCAGCAAATGATAAGATGTATATTAAGGAAAATTGCCGCGCGATTATAATTAATTCGCCACAGATCTCCACGACGACCGGTTCTGCGCTACGCATCCAATGCCTTCCAGTCTTGTCTTGACCAGATCGTCGGTCCACCTTGCTGAAGGCCATGCTCATCTTATTATCCTCCACTGGTGCCCCGCCAGCGTAAACCATTAGCGCAGGCGGGTGCAGCATTACTTTATCATCCATAAAAAATACACATAGATATAAACAATCGTACTTACCAATAATATACGATACATACAATCGTATTACCCGCGAATAATTGTTATAAACTATAATTAAAAATAACTTAGAAAACATAGTAAGGTTTATATCTACAGCCTCGATGATAGCCTTCCGATGGTCGCAGGTTCGATTCGCACTGTACAAATATTTGTATTCTTGAGTATGATTGTTTGTATCGGTCTGGATATTTTTTATGTATATTATGTATTTAGAAAAAATAATCTATGTATTTATATCAGATACCTAGTATATAATAACTTAAGCTCTACTTAGCTTGGGACTAGATGGCACTGTCTGAATTGTCCAACGATATTATTAATTTTAAATTTATTAAGTATTTTTGTTAAGTTAATATCAACATAAGTTACAAATAATAATCATTTATTCAGCATAGCATAATATAGAGTGAAAAATATAGAAGCTTAAGTGCTAATATCGCTCTATAACCTGTATTGCAGGATAATACGATGTAGCTGGTTGAGAGGATGTGTGGTTGAGAGGATATTATAGATTATATTGAACTGACAAAATGTACATAAAAATATTGATCTCATATATTCATCAAACGAGCAACACACAAAATAATGTGTGTTAGAAAATAATTAATTATCACAGTAATATTTATTTTTATAATGGCTAGCCTCCGAAAGAGCAGCACACAAGTTTCTTGCTCATTCTTCTTGTGATGAATCAGGGTTTCGAATGAGTGATAAAATAAAAAATATAACTATTCAAAACTACTTGTATTGTGTTTATTTGAATAAAGATTATTTCTATTTCATGTTATAAATATTATAAATGCAAAAGTCTGTAAGTATGGAGTTTGTTACTCTTTCACGCAAAAACTAGTGAACACATTTTGTTAAAACTTTATAGTAATGTAGCTTATATATAAGAATAACATATAAGCTATTTATTATATTCATATTGAAATTTAACGTGGGTACAACTAGTTCATTCATAATTTAAAAGCTACGCTCCTGTCGGTGGAGCTCTTGCCACTTTCTGCGATCTTCCATTGTGCTCTTTAAATGTTGCTATGACACAAATAAATAACAATAATAAAATATAAGTTGGGGTGACATAGTTTAAACACGGCAGTATTTAGTAGACAATATTTAGATTGCCTAGCCATAATTAATTGCAAGTATCCAGGTTACTGTGCCTCATAATCTGAAAGGGCTTCCACTCAGCTGGTGCTGCAGCGTGTCACTGCAGCGCTCATTTTCAGTGAAGCCACTACTTGGAAAAAAGAAATAGCTTTTTTTAAATTTGTTTACTTTAAATATAATCAAATAAAATATAATATAACAGTATGTTAATTGGATGGATTAAATGTATGTGTAATCAGTGGATGGATATATATATTGCGATAAAATTTCGTAAATGTATTAAACAGAAGACTTACATAATTGTGTAATATTTTTTATGTAATATAGTAATATTTGACTTGCGCGACTTCGTCTGCATCACACTTATCATTATATATCGCCCAATTTACATAATATCTTTTTAAATTATAGCCTATATGTTATTCTGATCATACAACTATATTACTGTAAAGTTTCATCAAAATCCGTTTAGTTGTTTTTGCGTGAAAGAGTAACAAACATGCATCGATACTCACAAACTTTCGCATTTATAATATTAATAATAAAATTATACATTATTATCTTATCCAGGTTCTAGCTCCTTTGAACAAGAAGATAGCAAAGAATGTCATCCTGTTTCTTGGTGATGGCATGAGTATAACAACCCTGGCTGCCACGAGGGTGTACCTCGGACAGAAATATGGCCACTACGGTGAAGAACTACGCCTTAGTTTCGAAGCGTTCCCTTATACGGGACTAGCAAAGGTGAGTAATAAAAAATAACACGTATTTCATTAATTACGCACAAGATCATTTGAAAAGAATAAGAGCTGAGTATGTAGTCAGTTCTAGCTTGAAAACACTCCAAACTGACGGTAGATTTGGCATATCATAAGAGTTAATAGACCGACAATCATAAATATATTTTCATTTGGAAATAGAATAGAAATAATATTTATTTCATTAATCTTAATTTGAATGTACATTATACACGTATTTATAAAAAAAATGTATTTAAGTATATCTATCAGATGTCTAGTATCCATAACACAAGCTCCAAAGCTTGGTACTAGATGACGCTGTGCGAATTCTCGCAGGCAGCACACAAAAACTCTGAGTTATAATGGAATTAAAAATGCCTGCGCTTGGTCGCCAGTGGAGAACCATAAGCATGAGCTCAGACCATTTAGCCCATTGTGAGAAAATCACGAGGAATTTATCACGATGTTTTCAGGGACCCGCTTAGAGGTCAACCAGAAGTACTATATTACTAACAATGCTCTTCCTCTTATTATACTATTTCAGACATATTGTGTAGACAACAATGTAGCTGACTCAGCGTGCAGTGGAACAGCATACCTGACTGGGGTGAAGGCCAACAGTGGGACAGTGGGCCTCAGCGCGGCTGTGAAGCGGGGCGACTGTGCTGGCCAAAGGGACGGTTACCATTCCGTAACTGGGTTGATGGACTGGGCACAAAGAGCTGGAAAGAGCACTGGTAATATTTTATATCTACTGGAATTACCCTTAAATAAATTCAAAATGTCTCTTAAATTATACTTACTGGGCAATTAGCTTATTACTCACTAAACAATTACTTAAATAATGAGCGTGCATGAGCACTGGATTTTCATATAATGTTAGATATAGACACCTTTATAAAAATACATTTTAAATAAACTCTAATTCAATTGACTTTCTTTTCAGTTCTTCTCTATTGGATCTATATACTAAACTAGACGGTAAGGAAAAAATATAATATAAAAATTGTCCTATATGAATAAATGATTTTTTAATTTGAATTTACGTCTACTAATTAATAAAAATGTAACTTCACGATTGTTATCGTAGATGAGGTAGTTAGGGTTAAATGCAAAGATTGACATGTCCGCATTTGGGTGTATTTGTATACACATAAAACATTTATTTTAAAGACTTCCTGTGATTACTGTGTGACTGTGTATGTTCCGAATAGATAGAACAAATATCTATATATGACTATTCAAAAATCCTTATCGTTTATAGTAGTTTATTTGAATAAAGATTATTTCTATATCTATTACTGGGATTAATTTAGTTATAGAGGTTTCAATTACTGGACAGAAACCTAAATTGACACTCAATGTTTTTGTGTCAGACATAACAAAATATGCCCTATATTTTGTTATTTTTATAAAAAAACAAACAAAAAACTTTAAAAAATGCTCATTATTTCTTCAGATTCCAGTAATTTAACTCAAATGCTCGTTTCATTTTCATATAAAATTAAGGATAATTTTATAGAAGCATTTGAGAGATATTCAGTGAAGTGATGTTATTTAAGTAATAAAACGACAAATTATAAAACGAATTTAAATTTCGAACACAAAACTCTTTTATGACGTCAATTTAAAAAAATAATATTATCTTTTGTTTAATTACTGTATATTATGGCGGTAATTTGAAAATTTGAAAGATTTCGAATTTTGAAATTGATTAATTATATTTTTTTTATAATTACGAATTCGAATTTATTAATGCATAAATAATAATTTTTATTTCTACTAATATTATAAATGTGTAAATTTATTTTAATACTAGCTGTAGCTGTCCGCGTGGAATTTAACTTTATTTTTCTAAAATAATAGAATTTTTCTAAGATAAAAGTTGCCTAAGTTACTCCTCATTACATCAGTTACCTGCCAAAAAAGTCCCGTCAAAATTGGTCCAGTCATTTCAGAGGTTAGCCGGAACAGACAGGCAGACAGACAAAAATTGTAAAAAAAAATATTTTATTGTTATTCATATGCATGTAGTATAAAACGGTTATTTCAATATTACAAACAGATACTCCAATTTTATTTAAATGTATAGATTAATTACTAATATACAATTACAATTACTTTTAAACAGCTAAGTAGAATCGAATGAAATTTTATTCATATATAGATATATATCTATACAGTATAGATATATATCTGTATACGAATAAAATATAAACCAATAAAAATTAAACCACGTGATAATCTAGTATAGACTATACTAGATTATCACGTGGTTTACTTTTTATCCCAATTCTCGCAGGCAAAACCGCTGCGTACAGTAACCTATATAATAGCATATGTTTCCAGGTGGGAGAAGGGGATTGTCAGTAATGTGGACTAATGTCTAGTAGACTAGATGTCGCAATAGAGTGATCTGAGCTCATAACTATCATAAATCTTATCATCCTCCACTGGTGCCCCGCTAGCGCATGCCCTTTGCACAAGCGGGTGCACCTTTCAAATCAAACTAAATCAAAAATAAGTCATTCATGTAGGACATTCTAGCCGCTTATGAACGTCAAATTTTTTATATTGTAATTTTTCCCTACCGCCCAGTTCAGTAAACATATTCAATGGACAAGACCTAACAAGAAACTGAACAGATTTTTTTATTTTATTTGTTTATAAGAGAGTCAATTTATTTACATTATTTACTTATATAGGTATCTATGTCTAACATTAGTTCGATTACTCATTAAAAATATATATAATGTCCAGGTGTAGTGACAACCACACGGGTGACGCACGCCTCACCGGCAGCTTCATACGCCCATTCAGCCGACAGAAAATGGGAAGCAGATTCTGACCTACCGAAACACGGTCTACGTTGCGACGACATTGCCACACAGCTTGTTAATGGACGGGTTGGGAAAAACATTAATGTAAGTACATAATTTCAGAGGAACTTCCTCCCGCATACACTTAGATCGTGGAATGAACTACTGAGGTTTTATCGAGCGACTACAGCATGGAGTTTTTCAAGAAGTGTGTATTAAGGTTTCTTAAGGGTTGGCAACGCACACGTGACATGTGTTACAGTGTTCATGGGCTGTGGTAGCCGTTTACCCTCAAATGGGCCGTATGCCACCTACGTAAAAGAAATCAAAAGATGTAAATTTTTGTTACCATCCCACCTGATGGTAAGTTACAACCGTCGCCTATACACATGATCAGCATCACGGATATTACGTTATCATGTGATCACGTGGTACCACTTCGGGTGTTGCCACTATTATGATATCATACCTTCATACCCTATAATTTCAGTACCATATCTCATCCTTCAACCAAAGCACAGCTTCCAGAGCAAGCTGCTTTGCGACTGTATACAAATCTTAGTATTATTTTGCGGAAGTCCATTTCATTACTTAATGTATTTGTATTATGTTTATTTTATAGAAAAACTTAAAATCAATAGCGCGAACAATATTATCTGATTGCACTAAAAATGAGCTCGTAGCGGTTTCTATGTTGATTATCGCATGCCTCTTACTTGTTATACTGTAATTATTTATATAAAAACCACATCTATTAAAAAGAGCAACACACAAGTTTCTTGCTCATTCTTCTTGTGATGAATCTGTATTCCGAATGAGTGGTAGAATCAAAATATGACTATTCAAAAGTGCTTGTAATGAGTTTATTTCAATAAAGATTATTTCTACTTCTATTTCGCCACTTTTAGCTTGTGTGAGACCACAAACATTACGGAAACCTGCCCACCGACCAGGTTTCCGTCCACTGGAAGCATTAACACCTTGCCCACTAATGATCAAACTCCAAACAAGTATTCAGTGTGGAAACCTGACCACCGCTGTAGAAACCGTTATGACCCCCCACTAGCAATGAAACTCCGAACATTGTCAGATCTACATCCATATTATAATACATTTTTCGCCTCTAAACGAGACATCATAAGGGAAAGAATAAAGTAAACCTAGTGTCTGTTCGCCAAACACACATACTATTAGAAATTAAACAAAACAATACAAATCATTTAGTTACTTTGTAGAAAGTTTACATTCGTAAGTTGGTATGGAATAAACATAGACTCATTATAATTTTGTAAGATACGATAAATTAAACACAAGTGTTAAGAATAACCTAAAATTATACAATGTATAATTCGAAAAGGTCTTAATAAATGGATCAATATAACTTCATCCACAGAACCATAAATATCTAATTACATAATGCAGATAATATTCTATGTTTCGGAGTAAATTAATTAATTTTTTTTGTAAAGTTTAGACGTTCAAATTATAATAATTGTATAAATTTGTTCGTCCATAAAAGAAGAGTTGTTATTTCATTAGAATTTCGCTACTCTAAATTCTAATTAGAGATAAGCATGAATAAGATCGTTAGTTACGGATAAATTCTTCTAAATTACATCAATTTAATGTAGTTTAATAGGGCTTCTATGAAAATAAATATAATATATACATATATACGCAATCTATTAATAATTGAAAAGATAAGAACAAATAAGTTATTCATACCTATTATTTCATTAATTAAAAAATAGTAGGTAGTTATTTAACTAAATAATTATTTTTGTTAAATATGCAGCGCATAGACTAAAGAAAACGGAGAAATAAGGCCAGTATGGGTCTGGGTGTTTCTTATCTATATTATGTATTCACAAAAAATAAATTAAGTGTTTATATCAGTTAGTCATGTTGGGTACATGATAACTGATATAAATACTCTATCGTCTGTGCCGTCTAGCCCTAAATTAAGCAGAGTTTGTGTTATAGGTACTAGACAACCGATACAAATGCATAGATATTTTTTTTTCTAAATACATACCTACTATACTTTTATTATGATTTATACAATTGTTTGCAACGTCAGATGAATCAAACTCGAGTCATCCTTCGGAAGAAAAGCGTACGCTAAATCGCTAGACCATCGAAACGTCATAGATAATTAAAATAACAAATTATATTTTGATCCATAGGTAGTTTTTGGCGGCGGAAGAAGAAACTTCATTTCAAAAAAAGAACGCGACTCCGAGGGTTTCCATGGGCACAGACGAGACGGTAAAGATCTGATCAAAGAGTGGCTTCACAACAAGAGATCTCAGGGTGATGTAGCAAAATATATATACCACAGAGACGAATTGTTGAACCTAAATGTGGCAGATTATAATAGCGTTTTGGGTCTGTTCTCTCCGGATCATATGCCATACAATTTAGAGGCTGGTGATGATGACCCATCATTGAATGAGATGACTGAAAAAGCTATTAAGTTACTATCGAAGAATGAAAATGGATTCTTCTTATTCGTTGAGGGTGAGTTCTATATTATTAAATAAAATAGTTATCGAAGATGGTGTCGGCAGAAGATGGGGTTGTTAACTGTCAACATGGTGGTGAATACAACACTTGACTTACCCCTATTCCAAGGAATATTTAAGTCGATTGTCACCATCGTAGTTGTTACAGTCAATAGCAACTATTGGCCAGCGTACCCCGCTAAAGCAGATTTTCAGTGACTTCAACGCCATCTAGTTTCTCAGTGAAATAACGACCACAATTTAATTAATATAATTCGTACATAAGCTTAAAATAAACATATAGATAGTAAAGATTAAATCTAATTATAATTATGATATAAAATATATGTTCTAGAGGTTATATAATAATATTTATTTTGTAAGTACAAGATGTAAGATTCGATTGACCATATGGGTTCTACTAACCTACTGTCTTTAAATGTAGCCACAATATTGTGGGCACACTTCAGTTTGGTTTAGAGTTTAGACGCTCAAAGTAATTACATATAAGTAAAAGAAGAAGATCATAGTCTTCGTGAAAAAAGTGCATTTTACGTGGCAAGCAGCGAGCAAACCAGGGAGATATTTTTAAATTTCTGATCGGTGTTTCCATTACTGAAAAGTCAGTCAGAAAAGTAAATTAACATAGACCTTTTTTAATGGACCAAAATTTGAACTCTCGATCTTTGAGCGTAAGTCAGGGTTGTAATCTCAACTTGAGGTCAACCTGATATGGTAGCAATTCCCTTTCACCCCTATAATGTGACATTAGCTTCAAACAAAAAATATTTTTATTATTATTATTACTTTAGGTGGTAGAATAGACACGGCACATCACGAAACCAAAGCTCGTAAAGCGTTGGATGAGACAGCCGAGTTTGCCAAAGCCGTTGAAGCAGCACTGAGGATAGTTGACCCTGAAGAGACCTTGATTGTCGTGACTTCAGACCACAGTCATACTATGACCTATAGCGGATATAGCAAGCGGGGGTCAGATATTCTTGGATTTACGAATAAGGTAAGAAAATAAAATTGAACGTACCTCAGTGGTCTAGTGGTATAAACACATTATTTTACTTCCGATGGTCACAGGTTTGATTTTCGCAAGGTAAAAGCTGCCTATTCATGATTACGTAGTAGCTAGTTTAGCACAGTGTTGGTACCTCAGTCTCACCTATTTCAGCCGCCCAGCAGCTATTTTGTAAGCAATATTTGGGTTGAAGGTTGAATATGACAGTAAAATTGCAGTGTACAGAAGCAAAACAATCTAGTCCTTTGGAATGGAGACATATGAGGTATATCTACGATCATCACATGATGACCTGATATCCATGGTTATGTACTTGCATATGGGAGAACTACCATCAAGTAGCCAGCCAACTTGTTCACATTCCAGCAATATAGAAAATAAATTTATTGATTAAATGATATATAAAAGGCTACCTACTCGCCCAGACTTCGCACGAGTCTATATGTATTATACATATAAACCTTCCTCTTGAATCACTCCATCTATTTATCTATCATCATCATCATCATCATTTCAGCCCGAAATACGTGTACTGCTGAACAAAGGCCTCCCATAAAAATCTCCAGAACGATAGGTCCTGCGCTGCTCACAACCAACGTTTTCCTGCGTTCTTGACCAGATCGTCAGTAAAGTCCAACTAAACAAAATATTATTTTCTAATTTTTTTAGATGAATGCATCGGATGGTTTTCCATACATGACCCTAAGCTACGCCAACGGTCCAGGGTACAGAAATGAAGAGCAATACGCAAGGTCCAATCTACAATTGGAAGATATAAGTAAGTAACACAATATTTAAAAGTTAATTTTGACGGTAGTCAGTTTAGATTTAATGTCTTAATATATATTAGTAAGATATTAAATGTGAAAGTTGGTGAGTATGTAACTATGGATGTTTGTTACTGTTTTACCCAAAATTCACTGAACGGATTTTAATTAACTTTACAGTTAAACAGTTTTAACTTTAACATAGCTTAAACATCAAAATAACTAATAGGCTATAATTTAAAAAGATATCATGTAAATTGGGCGATATATAATGATAAGTGTGATGCAGACGAAGTTGCGCGAGTCAACTAGTGTATAATAATAATAACCCTGAATAATTCACACAACGTCATCTAGTCCCATGGTAAGCAGAAGCATAAGCTTTTATAGATACTAGAGAATTGATATAAATACATAGATATATTTTTTTTTTTAATATATCTAAATATATATAACTCAAAGGTGACTGACATAGTGATCTATCAACGCACAGCCCAAACCACTGGACAGATCGGGCTGAAATTTGGCATACAGATAAAAGTTAAAACGTAGGCATCCGCTAAGAAAGGATTTTGATTAATTCTACCCCCAAGGGGATGAAAGTTTGTCAATTTTAAACCGACCGGGCTGAGACTTTGCATGCATAAAGCTACTATGACGTAGGCATCCCCTAAGAAAGGATTTTGATAAATTCCACCCCTAAGGGGATAAATTAACGCGAGCGAAGCCGCGGACAATGGCTAGTGCATAATAAATGTAGAAAATAACCTGACCGATATTAACAATCATGCTTATAAATTAAAATGATATTATTTATGAAAGCGATCATTTCTTTCATACATATAACGAATAAAGACCGTTTCATTTAATTTAATACAATAAGCATGTATTATTTATTACAAAAAATCAATAACTCTATTATTTGGTGATCAATCAAAAACAGCTAACGTTATTGATTAGTGGAATGGTAATTAGGAGTCGTAACCAAAAAAGCACGCCACGACTTCATTCATAAAAATGTTCAATATCATTACAAATTTTCCTATTACAAAAGGGCTGATAAGATGTTGTTATCACTGTATCTTATGTTATGGATGTGTATTTAAACTTCTTTGATTAAAATATTAATATATTTTATGCAAAAATATGGGTAATAAAATTTTTCTTCGAAATTTCAGGGAAAGTTGAAGTACAAAACTTGTTAGTAACCATGAGTACTTTCATATCCTTGCGGCTTTGTATACATATACCATTTCCAACTAATTCTGTACAGGCGATGGTTAACATTTCCGTTACCTACATCTACACATATAAATAAAATTGGAGTGTCTGTTTGTAATATTGAAATAACTTTAATTAATATGAATATAAATACGGTGCATACACCAAAAATTTTTTACAACATTTTTTGTTTGTTTGTACCGGTTAATCTCTGAAATGACTGGAGTGATTTTGACGGGACTTTTATTGGCAGGTAGCTAATGTACTAAGGAATAGAATAGAATAGAATAGAAAATCATTTATTCAAATAAACTTAATTTAAGCACTTTTGAATAGTCATAACAATTTGTTTTTTATCACAAGAAGAACGAAGCTGTCACGGAAAGCTGTCTCATTTTATTGTGTGTTGCTCTTTTAAATTTTAAAGGAGTAACTTAAGCTACTTTTATTTTAGAAAATTAACGTTAAATTCCACGCGGACGAAGTTGCGGGTACAGCTAGTAATATATATAATTATAATCTGTTGCAGAGAGTCTCAACTTCACCTTTCCATCGCTAGTGCCAATATCCCGCGAGACTCATGGTGGCGAAGATGTGGCTGTCTTCGCGAAAGGACCCTGGTCACATATCTTCAGCGGGAACTATGAACAGAACTACATACCTCACGCTATCGCGTTTGCATCTTGCATCGGCCCAGGATTCACGAGCTGTGAACATTGATAGAAATTTAATAAAACAAATATAGGAAATTTAATTAAACTAAAACAAAACGCGATCAGAAAGTGTATTAAGTGTACGTGAAGATACTGTGAGTATAGTTTGCCGAGATGAATATAAAGCGAGTTTCAATAGTAGCAAAAAACGAAGACGTGTGAAGGTAGACGATATTCATCTGCCCGCAAAATTTATTTACCATCTACCCACTGTACTTCAGTTTTCCCGTGATCATGGCGGTTGAAACAATACTAAAATATAGGGGAACTCAATAAAAATAAATAAAATGTGGTAAGATCCCGGGATTTTTCCTTGTAATTGTAAGTATAAGCAAATTAAAAACATACTTCTCAAATTGAGAATATGTTACTTAAGTATAAGCAAATTAAAAACATACTTCTCAAATTGAGAATATGTTACTTTATTCATAACTAGTATTGAATACAGCCTGTTACTCAAAAATAAACATAACATTGCGACTGTTATCTCTAGACAGGGTAGTCATAGGCATTGTCAACTTACGATGTTGTGGTGAACGCAATATTTGATATACCCAGCTTTCGCTCTATTTGTATCCAATTTGGTAGAGATCTACCGTAATTTCTCTAATTACTTATTAGTTTGATATCGGTAGATGTTACTTTCGAGAGTCATTTAGAAATGTCAATTGCCATACAATTTCTTTATATCAGTAAAATTTGAACAAACGAACTTTTGTGCGAAAGTCCGAATATTAAATCGCTAGGACACGACGCTCTCGAACACGAATCTATTTGTTGAATTAATACTATAAATATAATAGATAGACTGTTTGTTAATGACAATATTAGAGACAATTCTATAGACAACCTACACCATATTCAAGGTAATCTATAAATAAATAAAGCAAAAAAGTATTTAAGTAATTCTGTCAGTTGTTTGGTATCTGTATATAATAGTAGTAATAACCCAAGTTAATCCACAAGAAGGCCGAAACTAAACAATACTCGTATTATGGCTAGTAGACAACTGTGTTATGCGCAGCACCAAACGTGCAAAAAGCACTAGACCTCCAAGCCGTAAAGTATATTTTTGAATGGTAATGATGTTTGGTGTTATTGTGACACCAATCATGGTAAAGAATTAAGTGTTTTTAATTGACTTCAATATATGCATGCAAAAATGCTCACTTCTTGCATCTGCTTACGTATGAGCAAGTAATAATGTCATGGAATAGAATGGAATACAAAGAAACTGTTTAAGCAGTTTTGAATTGCATGGATTGGTACAGATGATTGAGTGATTTGGATGAATATTGATGGATCCGAATAAAGAAAAAATAGGTGTATTATAAAAAAAGGTTGTGTTTGATACAATTACAAAAGGAACTTATTTAAGATTAGCTGTACTCGAGATTTCGTCCGCGTGGTATTTAACTTATTTTTTCTAAAGTAAAAGAATTTTTCTATAATAAAAGTAGCCTAAATTACTCCTTATTACATTAGCTACTTTCCAATAAAAGTCCCGTCAAAATCGGTTCAGCCATTTCAGAGATTAGCCGGAACAGACAGACCGACAGACAAAAATTGTAAAAAATGTTATTTTGGTATATGTACCGTATTTATATTTATATTTATATGCATGTAGTAAAAACGGTTATTTCAATATTACAAACAGACACTCTAATTTTATTTATATGTATAGATGGGAATTTGTATCTAGAGGCTTAGTCAACTGGCTTCATAATAGTGAATTCCACACTTAACATGATTATATATCCCACGTGCCATGGACGATCCTACAGGCGTCTCTAGAATTTATTCAGTTTGTTGTCAGTGTTTCCATCACTAGAAAATTAGTCTGAAATATGTAACGTATAATTTTATTCCGCTGGCTGAACTGGCGAGCTGTAGTAAAAGTATATACCTAATAGTAAATAATTCTAAGATAATACCTGAAAAAGCTATAAAGTATTTAATGATTTTTTTTTTGTTTAATTACGTTTTTCTTTTCTGTATGTGTTTTATATTGAAAAAGGCTAGTAACAGAATTAGAAAGAAGATGTTTTTTTTAAACATGTTATTGACGAGTATAGAATTATAATTATAAGGTTTATATTAGTTTTTTATTTAGTTGTATATTGTTTTAGTAATATAAATAGTTAATATTGTTATGGATTCTATACTGACGTATTATTAATCTTGTACAAATTAGAATAAATATATATTTATACTTTTTTTATATTGACTTTTATTTGTAAAAATGCAACCATGGAAAATGAGATATTTTTTTACATATAACCACAGATAAGATAATGTTAATATGTATAATATTATAAATGCGAAAGTTTATAAATATGGATGTTTGTTACTCTTTCACACAACAACTACTGAACGGATTTTTATGAAACTTTACAGGAATATAGCTTTTGCATCAGAATAACATGTAGGCTATAAATTTCACGTAGATGAAACCGCGAGCACAGTTAGTACTACATAATATAACTCAGAACCAGGGTTGGTTGCGACTGAAAAATTTTGCGTAGTATATTATACTATATTTTTAGGCGTATATATATTTATATACAGTATATTACGCTAATATAAAAATATATATAACTATTATACACTATATTAAATTTGACATGTGACCGTCCACGTTATTTAACACAATTGTTGTAAAACCTTACAATTCTTCATTTTTTTAAACCATAACAGATTAATATATAAATTCAATTTAAGTTCAATTCTCAAATAAAAAATATTGAAATAAACTGAGAATATGATTGAAAAAAAATAGAAATCTTTGTTTTTGCATGTAGAATCAAGGAACGTAAGATACTGGACATTTACTGAAACCACATAGAGGCCTTGAAAAGAAAATGAGATAAAAAAATAATAAGAAACGTCGTTGTTTGCGTTTCATCAAGTAAACAAGGGCATAAATTTAGAAAAACTGATTTACGGATCGATCACAGATATTATAATTTTATTCAGGCATATATTGTCTGTGGATTTATTGCGAATCTCATCTCACTTGAATCAATATAGTTGAATAGTGATCCACAATAATACTACATTATATGTATTTCTAGTTATTGGAAGCCCCGGCTTCGCACGGGTGTACATCGTACTAATATTATAAAGAGGAAAAGTTTGTTTGTTTGTATTGAATAGGCTCCGAAACTACTGGACCGATTTTAAAAATTCTTTCACCATTAGGAAACTACACTATCCCTGAGTGTCTATAGGCTATATTATATTTCCAAAAAAATTAGGGATCCTTACGAAATCTCCTATAATGTAACCCAAGGTGTAAAAAATTACACAAAAAATACCTAACACCGCATGCGCTGCGAAAACTATTAATGATAGAACAAAATGATGTACTACAACTTTGCAGAGCACATCATTATCTATAAAAAGTGTCGCGACAGCATGTGTGTATCTATTATAGTTACGTTACAATAAGTGTTTTTTTGTTTATAAATTTAATTGAAGTGTCGCCGCTACAAAAGCTTCTTATTGTGTATCTTGTTATTAATCCTTATCAAAATAAATTATAAATAAGTAATACTTAAATACTTTTTTAATATAATATACTAAAACCAAAACCAATACACACAATCATACTCATGATTTATGTTTGTACTGTGCGAGGAATCGAACCTGTGAACATCGGGACACTACGTGCTAAACCACTAGACCACCGAAATCGTGTAAAGTATCTTAATATCGTATTAGATCTCACCAAAATTCTATTAACAAACGAAATCCTCATAATAGAACAATATACATACATAGCCCTAATTACTAAGTATTAACTATTAACCCTTTACAACGTACCTAGTTGAACGCGTTCACCTTACCACAGAGTATATAATATTATAGTATCAAGGTTGCCAACCGTACGAGAATTCTCATATACAAGATTTTTGAACTATAAGGCATAAGGCCTTATACGAGTATAACCTCGTACAATATTGTACTATATTTTGACCTACGGGGCGTTTAGGATTTTTTTTAGAATGACAGAATAATACAAAATTTTAAAATGTTGGCACTAAAAAACAATGACAAAAGTGGAACTGTTCATGTTCTGTATTCTTACTTGACGAGAAATTAAAATGGCCACCCTCTGTAAAAATAAATGATGAGATTTATAGAACGAGACTAGCTGATTCCCGCGAGCACATCTGCTTTTTTTTTTGAGATAACAGATAGTCTGTTTTATTCATCATAATACGTATTTTATATATATATACTAGCTGTTCCCACGAATTCGTCCGCGTAAAATAGACCTTGAACTTGACCAATTAATGAAAAAATATTTAATAATCTAACCCAATAAAATAGTTTCATCATTCTAACCTCAGAAATGAAAATTACCATACAGAATTCTATACAACTCAATCAACAGATCAAAAAATAAGTTTCAAGCTACTAGCTTTGAAAGTGACTATACTTCCATACAATCTTTCATCTCCATTTTAATCCCTTACAACCCTATTTCTTTGTTTATATTTAAACAATAGCCAAAAAAATGAGTTTCACGTTCCTAGATTTAAAATATATATATGTAAATATGTATCTATATCAATCTAACTTCATGTCAAATTTAATTAATATTCATTTAACGGATAAGGCGAAAAAGAAAAGACAACAAAATGACAGGCAGATACACTTTCGCGTTTAAAATATGAATATTGATATATTAATTGTTGATCTTATTTAATATTTTTTTGGTTGGCAACCCTGAACAGTAGATACATCGTATATAATCCTTCACAAACGGGCTAATATCCGTCGTGTAATGTTGGATTATGGAATGAATTATCAATTTTAAAACAAAAGCACTTTGTTAAAGTAACATTAACATCCACAACCAATATAATCCTCAGGAAACATTAATACTAGGAAATTGTGCACAGCTCGAAAAATTTTAACAGAGAAATTATAGATGTTAAGATTATCTACATGCGTGTATCATAATAAATAATACATACATAGATAGACAGTTAGGATAAG